CTTTTTGCAGCTCCTCCTAGACCCTTCTCTTTCTCCAACTACTGGTCTCTTGTCACGTTGTCTAACAGCAAAATTTCTCAGTGAAGAGGTTTTTCATTCTCTCTACTCCCTCACCATCCCTCCATTTCATCGCCCTCAGAGCCTCTGGGACCACTCTTCCCCTGGAATTGCTCTTGACAAGGTTGCCCGTGACATTCATGGTACTAGGTGGGATCATACCTCTGTTCTCACCTTTAAGTAGCATTCGCTATGGTTGACCATTTCTTCTTCCTGAAACATTTTTCTATCTTGGCTTCAGTAAACAAGCTGCCAGTTTTCTTCCCAACTTCCTCACCACTTCTCAGAGTCCTCTGCTGACTCTCCCTCTACCACCAACTTCCTGAATGCTGGAGCTTCTCTTGGCACAGTCTTGGGCTCTCTTCTCTAGCTTCTTGCCATTATATAACATATCTTTCGAGTGTTGATGACTCCCAAATTCATATCTCCATCTCTGACTGGTTCCCTGAACTTTAGACTCACACTTCCAACTGCCTTCTGGACACCTCCCCTTGGATATTTCCTACTTAATGGGTCCAAAATGGTCCTCTTGATTTGCATCACCCCCTGAAAAGCTTTCCCCCCTCATCTCACCCTATCTTGCCAAGAATTCTATTGCCCAAACCAAAAAGTTTGAGAATCACCCTGATTTCTCCCTTCCTTTCACCTCCAAATCCACCAAGTCCTAATATTTATATTTCCTAAATGCACTCAGCATCTATCTACTTCCATTCATCTTTGCAACCATTACTCTATTCCTTGCTGTTGACATCACTTCCCAAGGCTACAGCTGTAGCCTCCTAAAGGGACTCCTGCTTCCATTCCTGCCTCCTTCTGGCTCATTCCCCTGTTAACATTCTTTTCGGCATTTATCATCATCTTAACTTATTGTAATAATTTATGTATTTATTTTTGAGATGGCGTCTTGCTCTGTCGCCCAGGCTGAAGTACAGCGGTGCTATAATAGCTCACTGTGATCTCTAAATCCTGGGTTCAGGTGATCCTACCACCTCAGCCTCCTGAGTAACTGTGTTTACAGGTACATACAACCACATCCTGCAATTTTTTTTTTTTTAAGAGAGGGAGGTCTCACTATGTTGCTCAGGGTGGTTTCAAAGTCCTGGTCTCAAGCAACCCTTCCACCTTGGCTCCCCAAAGTGCTGGGATTACAGGCATGAACCTGGCCATAATCTATTCATTTATGTTGTTATTGTCTGTTTCCTCTACTAGAATGTCAACTCCATAAGAACAGGGACCAGATCTGTTTTATTCCTCATTATATGCCAACTTCTGGCACATCGAAGCTTCTCAATAAATACAACTGGGTGGGATATGGTAGTTTATACCAGTAATCTCAGTGCTTTGGGAGGCCGAGGCGGGAGGATTGCTTGAGTCCAGGAGTTCAAGACAAGCCAGGGCAACATAGAGAGACACTGTTCTACAAAAAAATGTAAAAATTAGCCAGGTGCGGTGGTGCATGCCTAGGGTCCCAGCTACTCGGGAGGCTGAGGCAGGAGGATCACTTGAGGTCAGGAGTTTGAGGCAACAATGAGCTATAATCGTGCACTGGACTCCAGTCTGGGTGACAGAGTGAGACTTTGTCTCTAAAAAAAAAAAAGTTAAAAATTAAAAAGTACATCTGGAGTAAATACAAGAGCAAGTAACTGCATAATTTTAAATATTAAATCATATTTGTAATTTGCCTACTCAGAAAATTCTTCTGAAATTGGCTACTTCCCAGATTGGTGGGATGGGGTAAGAGAAACTGTATATTTCTTTTTTTTTTTTAATACATATTTTTTATTTTAATATTGTGGGGAACAGTTAAGGTTTAGGTATACAAATATGCATTGTGCAGGTACCCTTGTTGATGAGGTGTGAGAAATTGTATATTTCTACGATGCCTGAAAATAATGTGAAAACAATATATTTGGAACATAATTTGGAGTAGGAGTTGCAAACTCAAATATCTCAGGGCTGTGGCAGGTAACAAATGGGGAGGTCACCTTGTGTAAGCCACGGTGAGTGGCAGGGACTGTCATAATCTGGAGATCCCTGGCTCCAACTAACACAGACTTACCAGCTCCAGCCAGCTGTGGTCAAGTGACCAAGGGCCCAAGGGCAGGAGATCTACCAATTTTTCAAAAGAAGAAGGAAAGTTGTATATCACTTAGAATTAATATTGGCTGTAATGACTTGAAATAGCAGCTTAAATGAAGTGTATTTCCCTCTCACAAAAAGAGGTCTGAGTGTACAGCTGGGACTCTTGGAGGCTCTGTGGAGTCAAGGACTCAGGTTTCTTCTAACTTGTTGCTCAGCTTGGTGTAACTTTCATTCCCATGGTTATTCATGGCTCAATGGACCAATGTAGCTCCAGCCATTACCTCCTCATTTGGTGCAGCAGGAAGAACATGGGGACAGCTTCCTGGGAGCTTCCATGCCTCCTTCTATTTCATTTCATTGTCCAGAACTTAATCATGTAGCTACTCCTAGCTGCAAGAGCGTCTGAAAGTGTAATCTTTATTCTAAGTGGACATATGCCCAGCTAAAGAAGAAGGGGAGATGGAGATTGGAATCCTAAACCAGGAATCTCTGCCAGAGCTGGCTTTTCATGTGGAATTCCCAAGCTTGAACACTGTAACAGCCAAACAAAGCAGACTGGTGGTCTGGCTTCAACAGAGGAGCTGCTAGTGCTGTGCGCCCAGCTTAGAGGGGCAAGTGTGGGTGGGATACACTTCTGTGGCACGTGGGACAGCCTGCAGGGGGTCAGTGAGGGTCATAAACAGATGAAAGTCAGCAGGGCCTAGACAGAGAGTACAAAAAAGGAGGGTCTTTGGGTAGCCTGGGTGGTGGGGCGGGGCGTGGGGAAAGGGTGGGGGGGTACACCCTTAACCAGCACATCAAAGAATTTGCGCTGGCAGTAACTTGAGAGGTCCTTACATTTAGGCCTCAGCAGTTACTCCATGGTGTGCAATTTCCATCTTCTCTGAACTGTGAAGTCCTTCTCTGAGTCCTGACCTCTCATACCACGTCAGGGTCACCCTCTTTGGAGGTATAAGTGAGCCTGGGCCAGACCCAATGTCCCTGAGAGTTCACCAACCCTCTCCAATCACCCAAATTACCTTCTTTGACTTGAGCTCAGTCCAGTCTTGGACTCCCTGACAATTCCTCTCTAACCAGTCTTGTCTCCTGGCTCATCAGACTTTCTTGTCATGGGTGGCACATGTGATGGGGGGAAGGGTGGAGTTTGTAGGCAGCCTCCCCCACTTGAGCCCTGCACTACCGCTTACTAGTTGAGTGGGCTAGAAATACTTCTTTAAGTGTAAATTGGGGCTAATAATATTCTTCTTACTTTTGAGGTTTTTTTTTTTTTTGAAGAACCTAAATGTAAGGTTCTAGTAAAAATTCTCTGTAATTGCCCATATATGTTTGAAATTAATGACTTTATTGACACAAACTTTGCAATGAAAAGTGTTATCCTAATAGCGCAGTAAAAATCAGTTTCTGTCTCATACACACATAAAATAGTTGCCAAATGAATTTTTACTAAGATACTTTAACTTCCGGTCACGGTCTTGGTGAAATACAGATTGTTCCAGGGAGGTCTAGATCACATTCCCTGCATTTCCTTCTCCCCTAGAAGTGAGAATGTGTTTCTATATGAAACAAAGACACCTTCTCAAGGTGATAAATTTCAAACAACATGCAGTAGTGCACTGGTGCAGAAACAAAGCTTGAGAGAGAAGCCAGGCTCAGCCTGTGATGGGTGGCACAGTACCTGGTGAAGGAACACCTCCCGCAGAAACACAACACACATGCCCTGGGAGGAAGAGCCCTTGAACTTGCAGGATCATCGCCAACCTGTGGCAGTTGGGGGCTCCTGCTGAGTAATTGCCAGTGGGGGCATATGAGTCACAGGTTTTGCTTTTATTTTATTGTTAAAATTTTTTTTTCTTAGAACATAAAGTTCCCTAAAAGCCCTTTTTCAAGGAATCACAGAATGATAAAGCTTTAGGAAAATTGTAGTTTTGTGTATGGTAAAGGCTGGTACAGTGATTAAGAGAACACCCAGTTTAAGACACAAACCTACCCTGTCTATAAAAGTGAGAGGCTGTTGCAGATTAATTCGCAACACACATTATACCTTAGGGTCTAAGTCAATCTCTTAGTTTTGAAGTCACTGTTGGATTCAGGATAGACAGTCATGACTAACTAGACTAAATCCTTCAACGTCTGCATAGCACCTGGCACAGGAAGGGCATTTAATGTTTAATAAATATGCAATCTACCAATGGAAGGAAGGAAGAAAAGAAGGAAGGAAGAGAGGGAGGAAAGGAAGGGGAGGGAAGGGAAGGAAAGATGACACCATCCACTTGTGTTTGAGGAGTAACAGAGTGAGCAGATAAGGAGGCTGAGTATCTGACTTTCAACCTGCATGACAGTTCTCTGAACTATGTTATATAAACACACACCATCAGGATGCCTATTTCTGCTAAACATGGAGTTTATTGGTATAATTTGGTACAACTTTAGTTCTACCTTTCCCAGTCTCAGCCAGGTTAACAGTCCTTTAAAAATCATGCTGTATTACTTTGGAGGAAAATACTTCCAGCTGAGCATGTTTAAAGAAATGCTAGAAAACTGTTCCTATCAAAACATCATTTTGCTGTGTGCGCAACCTGACTTCTAATGCAGTGCACATCCATCTCTTGTCAATGTGAACACACATCAGCCAGGGGTTGTCTTTAAAGTGATTCCTTTGCAGATGCCAAAATGACATAGTCCCAGAACTGTGCATAGAGAGGCCAAAGAGAAGCCGTGTATGCTGCCACGTGTCCCTGAATTATCTCCCTCTCACAAGCAGTGTCCAGTCTCTGATGAACAACTGCAAATGACCTGGATGAAGAGGGAGAACACTCAAGAAGGAACAGGAAAGCTATGAAAAACTGCAATGTTTGGTGGTTCCCTGAAGGGTGTCTTGTGTGTGATGCATTGGCTGCAAGGAGGGTGACATTATGCGCTGAAGGCCAACATGGACACCCGCACAGGAGGACTTCTGTCATACCAAGACAGGAATCTTCCTGTTTCTTGATTTCTCAAATATCTGGGTTTAGAGTTGGGTGGGAAGCCAGCATTTAAGTGCACATGGTAAGGTCTGTGATGGTAGTATTTAAAAAGAAGGAAAGAATAGGCTCGCTGAAGACAGAACACACTCCAGTGGCCAGGTGAGCTTAGCACTGGGGTGTGAATCTTCCACCCCCTCCTCCTACTTTTCTCCATTTATACACTGACCTGTAGTTTAGCTCACCACTTTCACACCAGACCCAATTATAGGAGTGGCAATGGGGCAAACTGAACTGCACATGTGCAGCGTATTAACATATGCAAGCAGTGTGCTGATACATTTAAGTGACAAGAAGGAGGCTCAGAAGGTCCCAATGCCTCAGGCAGCTGTTTGCTCCTGGGTAAAACAGTCTCTTGAAGGGGCAGCCACATCTTCAAGGTTCCTTGACGGGATCCAGTGCCATGAAGGGCACCAAAGGAGTCCTTCTGTCCTTCTGTCCTGACACTGTGCTAGTTGACACAGTTCTTTGTAATTCTTTGACTTCTGTCCATCTGCCGGATGCTGTCTGTAACATTTATGGTGACTTCTTTTGCGGGCATTCTCTTAGCCTGTTGAAAAGTTTAAAACAGTGAGCTGAGTTGCTAGAAAATATTCAGAGTTTTTTTTGCATTTGCCTTTATCTCCTGAGATTGTTTTTTACACAAACACACACACACACACACACACACACACACACACACAGGCCAGAAGAATGACCCACAAAAACTCATGTACATACACTCCATATAAGAGGTTGCCCTGTTGAATCTGTAATACTGACCTGGTACAGAACTTGGCCTAGGGTATGCTCAGTACTAAAACATTATCAAATGAATGAATGAATGAGCTAAGGTCTACCAAAGGATAATGTGAAAGGTTTCATGGTGAAGGGTTTGAGCTTTGGAGTCAGACAGACTTCAGTTCAAATACTGGTTATATCATTTCACTATGGGCAAGTATTTTCTAACTTTCTAACCAACCCTCATTTGTAAAATGGGGAATAATAACATCTTCCTCATAAGGCTACTGTAAGGATTAAAAAGGTCATGTATGGAGGGTACTTAGCCTGTCACTAAATAAAAATGATGCTTGTCACTAAATAAAAATGAAAAAATTAAAAAGTAGAATATATTATCCACTTCTAGGTGAAGATAAGCCAATGATGAAGGTTCAGACTTAATATTAAATATTAAAGCATCAAGTGAACTGTAGGTTCTTCAATTATATGTGCCCGGCTCCCCAACCCCGACTCCCCCCAAAGAGAAGACAGCTTTAGTGAGGGGCAACCTTGTGCCCATTCCACTCAATGCCTGTGTGCTGGGAGTGAGCAAGAGCAGAGCTTGTGAAGCATCTCCACCAGTGGATGGACCCAGATAAGTGCTGCCTAGCCCCTATTCCATCTGCAGAGAGAGCAGTCAGCAAACAGCCTCCAGCTGTCCCTTTGGGGCAGCCTGAGCTGCAGAGAGCCACTCACCCAGGGCCAGTCCTTCCTGACTAGTGGCCCAAGGTAGAGGTAAATGGAGGGGCATAAAGGCCTGGCCATTAGACCAAACAGGTCAGCTCTGACAAGCACTTCCAGTGCACCCCATGAAGTGGGGGTAGCAGAGGCTGTGTCAGCCTGCTTTGTGACTCGACTTCCCCTCAGCCCACTCTTGTTTCCATGACCTTCCACAGGTGCTGAGTCCAAGGGCACTTTCCAATAAACATCCTGCCTGATGACACCTCACAGTCAGCTTCCTGGAAACACAGTGGCCTCAGACCCTGTGGAGCACCCCCCAACGCATGAGCGTCTCCCTGGGCCAGGTGATCAGAGATGCTATTTTCTTTTTCTTTTCTATTTTTTTTTTTTTTGGTTTTTTGAGTCGAAGTCTCACTCTGTCGCTCAGACTGGAGTGCAGTGGTTGCTCCCGGCCACCGCAGCCTCGACCTGCTGGGCTCCGGCGATCCTTCCGCCTCAGCCTTCCAAGCAGCCGGAACCACAGGTGCGCGCTACCACGCCTGGCTGATTTTTTTATTTGTTGTAGAGATGAGGTCTCGTCAAGTTGCCCAGGCAGGTCTCGAACCCGCGGGCTCAGGCAATCGACTCACCTCAGCCTCCCAAAGTGTGGGATTACAGGCTGAGCCACTGAACCCGGCTGACATGCTATTTTCATACCATGCGGCCCCTGAAAACAAGCCAACGACTTCATCTCCAGTGCATCCAAAGAAACAGTAGACTGTTGTGCCATTGGAGAGAAATAATTAGTTCTGTTGTATTTATTAACTCATGATATGTGAGTCTCTAACATGTCACATAAATCCTGTGTGTGTAGCTGCTGGTGGCACCCCCTCATATCTCCTTGACTCTGGGTAGGCATCCCTCCTCAGTGGCTGGCAGTGTTGGTTGCAAAGTGCTCACAGCAGCACTTTTTTTTTTTGAGTGAGAGTCTCACTCTGTCACCCAGGCTGGAGTGCAATGGCACACTCATAGCCACCACAGCCTCGACCTGCTGGACCCAGGCGATCCTTCCACTTCAGCCTTCCAAGTAGCCAGAACTACAGGTATGTGCTACCACACCCGGTTAATTTTTTATTTATTGTGGAGACGAAGTCTCACCAAGCTGCCTGGGGCTGGTCTCAAACCAGTGGGCTCAGGCAATCCACTCGCCTTAGCCTCCCAAAGTGCTGGGATTACAGGCTGAGCCACCAAGCCCAGCCTCTTTTTTTTTTTTTTTTTTTTTTAACAAAGTGAGGTCTCACTCTGTCACCCAGGCTGAAGAGCGATAGCATGATCACGGCTCACTGCAGCCTCAAACTCCTGGGCTCAAATGATTCTCTCACCTCAGCCTCCCAAGTAACTGGGACTTCAGGCATGCACCACCACACCCAGCTAATTTTTTATTTTTATTTTTGTAGAGACAAGGTCTCACTATGTTGCCCAGACTGGTCTTCACTTCCCAAAGTGCTGGGATTACAGGCGTGAGCCACTGTACCTGGCCAGCATCCTTCTTTTGAGAATTGTAGCTCTCTGATTGCAGCCACCTCCCCTAGGATTGCCAAAAAGGTTATGACCTCAAGCCTGGAGAGGCCCGTGGCCCATGCCTGTTTGCTGGGTCACAAAAGGCTAGCTCTTTTGCTTCTGGGGGTACAAACCCATGATGCCATGTGTGCTCCAGGGCTCCTTGTGGGATCAGGCTGCAGCTAGACTGCAGCTGTTCAGCTGAGTTCACATATCAGGTGAACTTGATCCTCTGCCCTGCCCTGCCCTGCCTCCTCCAACACTGTGCAGGTTTCACACCTGCGAGTACTTTTCCCATTACTTACACGAGAAGTCTCCCTTCAGGCTCTGCTTCTAGAAAACCCAGCTTAAGGTCATACTTTATGGGTGATTTGAGGAATGTTCAAGAATAATTTCGACTCTATGTAGCTTGAGTCTTATCTCTTGATTTCATGAGATCAAATTTCATTGTTATCTTCTTGGCGTTCCCAGCCTCTAGCACAGTTCTGAGACATTGTAGCCTCTCCACTCAACTTTGGTTGAACGAATGAATGAATGAATGAATCAGCCCATTGCATTTGTCATGGTACTTTAACAACTAGTGGCAATACTGTTTATGAGTCAGGCTTACACTCAGGTCTTCTGAGCCTGAACTGGCACCAGGGCTAGCAAGACTTTTATGTGTTTATTTTTCCCCCAAGGCAGAGAACTCACAACCTTCAAACTAAACATGTGTGGTTCTCTATCTGCAACTCCTCCTGGCCTTTAAAGCATTCTTCCTAAGAGTAGTTACATCATCATCTTGTTTCACAGTGGACTACCTCATGCCTGCTAACCACTACACACACACACACACACACACTCACTCACACACACACACAGCACTGTTAAGGGAAAAAAGGCAATGATATGGTTTCCCAAAGAAAACTGTGGTGATTCCGAGGCCAGATCCATCTGCCTTCCATTTGGGGTGTTATTACATAAAAGGTTTGAGGACCAGGGCATGGAGTGGAGACACAGAGGCCTTCTTTGAAATAAGCCAATTGACAGCAGCATTCCCCTCAAAGTGGTGGGAAGTAAAAGGGCTTTCCAGAATGAAAATGCACACTTTCCAAACTGCAGAAATGCTTTTCCTTAGAAAAGGTTGTTGGTGAGATTTCAGAAAAGGTTATTAAGGATGATATGCAAAAAGTGCTCTGTTCTCTATTTCAGTCTGCAGTTCTAAGCTTAAAAATCCAAGCAAAAATTCAGTAGTTGGGTTTCCAAGCCTATATAAGAGTCAAAGATTACAAGATCGTCACTTCTGGGGTAGCTACAGAATATTTATGGTTATAATTCCAATTACAGTGGGGTAATATCTTTTCTCTCTTTCTTCCCTTCCTCCCTCCCTCCCCCCACCACCTCTCTCTCTCTTTCTTTCAAGTTGGAGTCTCATTCCATCGCCCAGGCAGGAGTAGTGGCACAATCACAGCTCACTACAGCCTTGACCTCCTGACCTTAGGCAATCCTTCCATCTCAGCCTCCCAAGTAGCTGGGACTACAAATGCATGCCACCATGCCTGGCTAATTTTTTAAACAATTTTTTTATAGAGATGAAGTCTCACTATGCTGGTGAGGCTGATCTCAAACTCCTGGGCTCAAGCAATCCTCCCACCTCTGCCTTCCAAAATGCTGGGATTATAGGCATGAGCCACCATACCCAGGCAGATTTCTTAAATCTGTATATCACAAGCCTACACAATGGAATTGTTTACAGTACAAGCCTTATAAATCCAGATAGACCTGGATTTAGAGCAAGTCTTTGCCACCAGTTAGCTGGAACAAGACGTTGACTTAACCTTTGAGTCTCAGTTCCATCGCCTGAAAAGTGGGGCAATAATGACTGCTTTTTAGGTTTTTGTGTTTTTTTTGAGTTGGAGTCTCACTCTGTTGCCCAAACTGGGGTGCAGTGGCCACTCCTGGCCACTGCAGCCTTGACTTGCTGGGATCCGGCGATCTTTCCGCCTCAGCCCCCCATGTAGCTGGAATTATAGGCGCGCGCTACCATGCCCGGCTAATTTTTTGATTTATTATAGAGATGAGGTCTCGCCAAGTGCCCAGGTGGG